CCGTCTGCAAGCCCTCCGGCGCGGTCTGGGCCATTCCCACCCCACCCGCAAGCCATCGCACCGCAGTATCAGCATCACCTGCCACCACATATGGCAGGGTATGCAACACCAATGGGATTGCGCATGAGTGTGACGGGTGGGACGGGGACGGGGTGGACTACCACTGGTGTGACGGGCGCCACGACGTGGGAGATGGAAGGCAGCGCGTACTCGCACAGCCTATATTCCCCACGTGAGTCGCTGTACGACTCGCCGCAGTACACCGCCGAGGACGGTGATGGGCCGCAGAGGCGCGGCTCGCGGACGCGGCTCTCGAGGAGAGGCAGCAGGAGAGTGAGCGTACTCAGCGGACGACCGATGGATGCGCACCTGGAGCAGGACTCGGATGCGGAATATGAGGGCGACCGGGAGACGGAGCGGGAGGAGGAGGAGCGGGTACCCCCATACTCGCACCCACATCCACAACCCCATCCGCCGCCCCAGTCGCAAACTCAGTCTTCCCAGCTCCCTCCACCAATACAAGCGCACCTTCACCAACGACATCCCTTTACCCACTCCCCCTCTAACACGCACGTCCAGACCCTGGCGACGGCTCCCCCTTCTGGCACGCAGACACCCCTCGAACTTCCACCCCCTGCAATCCCTCCACCTGCGGCACCAGCTGTCCAAGCTACCGCCTCTCCATGTCCTCCTCCCCCCGACCAATTTGCTCCGCGATCAATATCTCCATCGTCGATGTCAAAACGGCATACGTGGGACTGGGAGGAACGCAGACCGTCGACGAACGATGTAGAGGCCAGGAGGAGTCTGCATGTGATCACGACCGCACCGGGAGTCAATCTTGGTTTGGGGGTGATGGGTACGGCGTTGGGACCTATCGGAGGCGCGTTAGGGCCAGGGAGAGGAAGGGGAGCAGCAGCAGGGCGTGGTAGCGGGGGATCGAGTCTGCATCCATACGTGAGTGCAGCGGCGTTTTACATATGAAACCCTGTGCTAACGAGACGCGCGCGCGTACATAGGTGGTCAACTTCACGTCGCCGATCGGTGAGTCCATATGGTGCAAGCGATAGAGCGGTGTGCGCGTTGCTGACACGTTCACTTGTTGTGTACAGACCTCGTTGATCTCTCGTCTCGGGACGAGCTGCCGCGTGCGATGTGATCTGGGAGCCATGTGGGCCACCGCGCGCGCATGTGCTTCGTGCCTTCATCATCGTATTGCGGCACCGCCACATCGTCCATCGCCCGCCGGCATCCTCTTCGCCCTGAGACCTCGGGTCGCGTTCCTGTCGGTTCATCGCTCTCCCTCGGACCTCCAGCCGTTCGATTCGTTGTTGGGATTACTCACCGTGGTCCGCAGCCCCGTGTGGCATGTCGTCCCTGCCCTCCTCTCCATCCTCTCTGGCTGTCGTCCCGTCGCTCTCGTCGCATTCGCATCCAGCCGCATCATCACTATCTATTCGCCTGGCCCTGTCGACTCTGTCTCACCCCAGCTCATTTCCTGGTCGATACCACTGTCCATACACCTGAAAACCTCGGGAGCTCGCTGACTCCCCGCCCCGATACCATATACAACCAGATACAACCCCACATTCGCTCACGATCAGGCACCTCCTCCACATCCACCGTCCCAGCTCCGTCGACCAAACCCGAACCTGTGCCTGGCGTACATCACTAGATGCGACTCAACCCCTTCAAGCACCTCCGTGTCCTCCCTCCCTTGTACTCCGTCCGCCTCCGCCTGGCCAAGGATGGGGGCTGCCCGCGTTACGACTTCTTACGACTTTTCACGACAATGTGTATCATCTTCTTTGATTACTCCATTCACCTAGGGCACCCCAGGGTGGAACCATCCCGGGCGTTCTCCGGTGTCCCGCCCCCCGCGTCTCACCATCCCGCCCACGTCTGGCATCAGTTTCGCCCTGGTGATGGTTGTCGCGCCCGCGTCGCGGCGGGCGTAGGTTATTCGTTATCTAGCACCTGCATATCTATCGTCTCGCATTTGTGTTCGTGTGTTCTGTCCCGCGTTCGGTGTTCGGATCTGTGTCGGCTTGTTGTAGGATAGCGTCCGTCATGCTAATGTATCGTATTGTACAACATCCGGCTTCGGTTGTGCGAGAGGCCGTCGGTGTTTGGGCGAGTCGAGGATGGTGACTAGTCTGACGGGTACGTGGTTCGTATTGGTTCGATGTGTGTACGTCTATTCATCGTTGCTTCTCACCAGGGTTTGTAGAACCGTCCACCGCCGGGCCGACACCGCTCATAGACATGATTGTGTCGGGGTGAGTGCACTGACTATCGACGTTATCACTCCAGGCGTTTTGCACCCGTCTGCGGCCCCAGGCATCCATATAACTCGCACGTCCTCCACTCGTACACAACGCGGTGCGCATCGCGACGGCTCACATGACCGTTCCTGCTCGAAATTGCGCTTCTCCATATGGACCAGTCCGCTTCTCACTGCGCTCCGCCATGCCATATATAGCTCCGAAGATCACCCGACCAGCCCACACTCCTCCTCGTCTCTTTTCCAGTCTTTCCTTCTCCCACATTTGCTACCAAACGGCCCAGCCCGCTCAACGTCGGACCTCCGTCTGCACGTCACGCGGGGTCGTGTTCGAGGTACGCGCCAAGTACATGCTGTGGTTGCAACCCACGGTGGACTGACGAACGTCCTCGGAAGAGGGCCGCAACGGTCACGTATGCTACGCCTCGCGCGCCGCGAATCCCGTCGAACAAGCTATTGATTGCGCGTGGGGAAACAGCTTCGTCCTTGCAGGTTCTCGTGCATGCATGTTTGATGGAGCGCTCCTAGTGAGGAGCAGACGGGGCCCGAGGACTATGACCGTGCAGGCGTAGGGAGCGTATAAGAGGCGGCGTCGTGTGCGGCGACAGCGTACGTCCTCTAGCATCGTCCACACTCGTCATGGTTGTTCTGTCTCTGCATAGCTTTGCGACGCTCTTTGTTCTCTCTACCGTGGGCCACGCGTTTGCGCTGCCTGACAGTGCTGCCTCGGACGCACACCCGAGTTTCCGCTTCCCGCCGAAGAGGGGGCTGAATGTCGCAGCGAAGGCGGCGAGGAAGCTGTACCTCGGGACGGCGACGAACGCGGAGCAGTGGACCGACACCGCGTACTTCAACATCCTCAAGAACACAGCCGAGTTTGGGCAGATCACGGCCGCGAACGTCATGAAATGGGTGCGTGCGCAGCGCATGCCTCTTCGCATCTCTGAGTCTGTCTGTACCTGCCATAATCAAACACTGACGCTCGGCGGTGCAGTTCGACGTAGAGCCAGAGCCGGGCGTGTTCACGTTCCAGGACGGAGACGTGATCGCGAACTTCGCAAGGCGGACGGGCAAGCTCCTGCGCGGGCACAACTGCGTGTGGCACAACCAGCTGCCGGAGTGGGTCGCGAACGGGAACTTCACCGTGCCCGAGCTGGAGGTTGTTGTCTCGAGACATTGTTTCAACCTCGTGCGTCACTACCGGGGCCAAGTGTGAGTGCTCTTCAGCTCGCTGGGAGAGCCTCTAGCTCATTCTCCTTCCCTCGTAGCTGTACGTGCTGCTGAGACCACTCCAATTCTTCACGGCCGCGTATCGCTGATTGCTTTGCTGAGCAGATAGCTGGGACGTCATCAATGGTAACGACATGTCCCTCTTCCTCGAATACGTATGTGCTGACACGATATTCGTAGAGCCTTTCAACGATGATGGAACGTTCCGCTCCGACGTCTTCTTCAACACGCTCAACACGAGCTACATACCGCTCGCGCTCCACGCCGCGCGCCGGGCGGATCCCCGCGCGAAGCTGTACATCAACGACTTCAACATCGAAGGGATCGGTACGCGCTCCTGCCGCGCCCCCCTCTCATCTCCGGCCCTATAGCACTGACCTTCCGGAATCCACCAGGCGCAAAGTCCACCGCGCTCAAAGAGCTCATCAAGACGCTGAAGCGCGCGCGCGTGCCGATCGACGGCGTCGGGCTCCAGTCGCACTTTGTCGTCGGCGGCGTGCCGCCCACGCTGCAGCAGAACCTCGAGGAGTTCGCCGCGCTCGGGCTCGAGGTCGCGATCACCGAGCTCGACGTGCGCTTCCAGGCGCTGCCCCCCACCGCGGAGGGCGTCGCACAGCAGAAGGCCGATTATGAGGCTGTTGTTCGTGCGTGTGCTGCTGTTAGGAAGTGTGTGGGCGTCACGCTGTGGGACTTTACGGACAAGGTGCGTTTGGGCCTCGGAGGGACGCTATACGTGAATTGAGGCGTCGCTGACTGTTGTGTCGATTATAGTACTCGTGGGTTCCTGGTGCGTTCACTGGGCAAGGCTCTGCATGCCCATGGGACGAGGTAGGCCCTTGGGAAATTCTGTGGCTCTGCGTGCTTTGGCTGAAGTGCATGCAGACTTTCGTAAAGAAGCCAGCCTATGATGGGATTATTGAGGGGTTCTCGAGGCGAGGATGATCAATGATCGCGACCGCGGCAACCAGCTGTGTTCACCAGTGACTAACGAGGAGCAGTGGAGGTGGAAGATGACTGAGCACAAGGTTTCAACTTATCAAGCCCAGGCTTGATGCCAGCGATTGGCCTGTCCCGATATGCACTGTAACGCTCTACGCAACGTCCGATGTACTCACATCAGACACTTGCAGCAGCTCCCAAATGTGCTTTTCGTCCTGATGATAGGACCCGACACCAGGTGTGACGGGCGCTCAGATATGGAGGAGCTGTGACGCTGGTGGCTGAGGACATTGGAAGTATCCTAAGCACTCTTTAAACCGCGACATTTCGAGCTCCGAGTCGTAGATGAGAGAGTTCGCGACGTGGAGAACGTTCTCACTGGCGACCCCGCATTGCAAGGGCGTCCTGTGCCAGTGACCAGTGATCCTGGCCACTGATCCCGATGCAGTCCGATAGAGAAACGGGTTCTATCCTCAGGCTCCAGGGCTCCATGATTCGCCCGGACTCGTTGGTAACTGTGTATTTTCACTGCGTGCAAAAGGTACTGTGGACACACTGGGAATTGAACCCAGCACCCCCCGCAAACGCCAAACATGCTAAGCGGATGTGATAACCAACTACACCATGTGCCCTGACGGGTTTACCCTTTCTGTTCTCTATCAGCCGCTAGCGCTCACTGAATCGACGCTGTTGACTCGGAAGTTCAAGTTGGTTGGGCTATACTCGTACTACATATGTAGGCAGTCGGTGTCATCAGGTTCAGTGTGGTACGTATGTAAAACCCGGCACCGGCAGTCGAGACTCGACAACCGTCATGGTAAGCTGGTCTCTTCATCACGACACACCTGCCTGATCTGCTGAAGTTGTAGAATCTACCATTGACCCTCTAAACAACCTACCCGAGTCCGAGTCGAAGCCCTCTCGATCCCTGACATGATGCATTCGGCACATGTGTCGACAGCGCCGTCCGAGTCTAGACTATCAAACCATCGACCGAACCACACGTCAACCAAGTCCCGGCACTGCGACATTCGCTGTAGATTGCCTCACTGAGATGTCACCCTTTATCCATTGGACTGTCGAGAGGCCCACGTGGTGACCCTGAAATTCGCGGTAGGATTCCATACTACGGGACGTCATCGCGGGGTAAAGTCGACGACACGAACACCCCCATCTCGTAAGATGCGAGTCTAGAATACAGACGAGAGGCACTCCCCCATTCATTCGCCCCGCATAGTGGTGAGTTCACTCGTGGCTCATGATGATTAATGCGTCCTTCTGCCAGGCTGCTTCTTTGCACCATGTGCCTTGCTGCCGTAAGCTGGAAGAGCGGCAGGATGATTAGAGGCTGGTGCCCGGGTGCTTGTATGGCACTGGATCTGCCAGAGCATCGTCTTCGCTGCATGCTCGGCAAGCCGCCCTCCGTTCCTAACCGCTCCTCGACCGCCCGAGCCTCTCGGTGCCGATGCTGACTGTCAGGACCGTCGTGCTCAAACAGCGGAGGCCGGGCGACCCGGACGCGACGTAAACTGTCGATAACGGCCAGGGCAAGGAGAGTGCGCAGCGGGCGGCGGGGTCGGTGCGTGCAGGATGGGCATGTCGTCGCACTACCGCCCGCGTATGGTACGCGACGGAGAGGATCCTGGACGGGAACGCCCGCGCCATGACAGCTCGAATCAAATCTAAACCGTACAGAGGGCGGCAAACGCGGGCCACGGCCTACTTAAGGGCAACCTCTTCGCCTTTCCGCTGCGACTCGGTCATCCTCTTGCACCGCGCCGCTTCCAGCTCCGTCCGTGCACCGAACCCCTCCGCGTTCTCCCTCCATCCGGCACTCGACTTCCGGTTCGATCCTTCCGTTTGCTGTGCTCCCGCCATCCGCCAGCGTCGTTAAATGATCGAACCCCTCGCCGCCGATTCATCCGCTCTGGACTAGCTGCCACCGCCGAACGCGTTCTCGCAACATGGACTTGCATTTCGACGCCTCCCGACCTCCTCGCCCTGATCTCAAACTTTCCACCGAGCCGGTTTTGCCACAAACCCTGTTTGACGAACTCTCGGCTGCAGTCAAGGGACAAGTCTTTCGCCCAACCGACTCGGAGTACAACAGTTCATACTACTCGGTGACGTACCGTGCTCATGCGTCACTTATTCTTTCAGGTACCCGGAGCGTGCAAGGACGTTCAATGGAAAGCTGAAGCCCTCCTGTCGCGTCCTCGTCTCCCCGCTCGACGCCCAGGACGTGAGCGCCGTCATCAGGTTCTGCCGCAAACATGGCCTCTCGCCTTCTGTACGCGCAGGCGGATACGGTATCGCCGGCTGGTCCGTCGCGGGCGACGTCGTCATCGACATGAGCATGATCAACGACATAGAAATCGAACCTCCTGTCTCGGTAGACGAAGAAGGCAGCCGAGACTGGGTTCCATTGAGGGACATGCCTGCTCCTGGGAGCAAAGGCAAGGCGCGCGCACAAGGGCTCCGACTCGTGGGCGCGTCCTCTGCTCCCAGTGCGGAGTCTGCGCCGAGCGCAACGGAGGCTCGTTCAACTGGGAAACGACGGCGCGATGACCGTTCCCCGTCACCCAATGCGGACGAGATGGGCGCAAAGACAGGCCTTGGGCAGTTTGACGGCGCCTCCCATGCGGTTGCGTCGTTCCTTCAAGGCCCACCCCTGCCACCCGAGCCAGGGGAGGCACCCAGACAGCCGCCGACCAACAAGCCCCGTCTCCACTCCCCCGTGTCCGAGTCGACGAATGGAACCGACCGCAACCACGCACTTGCCCCGGAGCCCGCGCCCGCGTCTCGCGCGGCGTCGTCCAACCTGCCACCGCCACTCGACGAGCACACGCGCCAGATTTCCGGGGGATCGACGGAATCGGACGGCAGCTCGCGCTTCTCGGGGCTCACTCGGAGCACGTCTGGGACGACCGCGCGTACCACGCCGCCCGACGACGACAAGGTTGCGCTGCCCTCGACCGTCAGTGTGCCAGTGGATGGGGGCGAACCATTCGGCTACCTCTCTCAGGCTGGAGGTGCTCCTCCCTCGTACTTCTCTGGGCCCCCGTCTGGTGCTGCTGCCAGATCGGGAGTGGGCGTGTCCGCCCTCCCAGCGTTCTTCCCTCCCCCGCCGAACCCAGGCACTTCCTCGGGCGTGGTGGCATGGAATCCGTTCAGCATGGGGATCCCGGGCTTGGGCTTGGGAGGATCGTCTCCCTTCTCGATGCCCCCTTCCATGCCATCCACGACCTCCGCGCCTTCCATGCCTCCCTCCGCCTTCCCCGGCGCAACCCCGTCCTGGCCCGCGTCGCACCCGCTCGGCTCCGGTCCCGGATTGAGCCTGGGCACAGTACCCGCAGACGGCGTATCGAGTGCATTCGCGCAGGCGCTGCAGGCGGCACAGGCCGCGTCGGGGCACATGGGCACGATGCCGCACGCGAAGCCCGTGCACCCGCATGCGTACGTCACCTTTGGGGCGGGGATGCGCCAGAAGGAGATCGATTTGTACACGTCGGACCACCCGCTCGAGGGCGTGAACACTGTCACGGGCGAGAAGGACGCGGCTGTGCCGTACCATGTTCCGATGTGAGTGCCCGTCGTGTGCGAGTGCGACTCGGACTGGAGAGAGAGAGGTTGCTGACGATAGATGGTTGGGATTCATTCGTAGGTCCGCGCACCCGGTCGGGTCGTCGATCATGCTCCTCGCGGGGTTCGGGTTCATCAGCAGGATGTACGGGCTGAGCATCGACAACCTCGTCGAGGTCGAGATGGTGCTCGCGGACGGGCGGATCGTCGTTGTCAACGCCGAAGCCGACCCCGGTACGTCCCAGTCCCACTTCCACGGTTGTCGATGTGTAAACCGCCTGAACAATCAATGCTCACTCTACCGTGCGCAGAGCTGTGGTGGGCCGTCCGCGGCGCTGGCCCCGCCTTTGGGATCGCGACGCGCTACAAGGCCCGCGCGTACCCCATCCCCGTCGTCTTTGCCGGAAACCTCCTCTAGTGCGTCCCCTCCTTCTCTCACCTTCTACTTGCAACTTCAACTTGACTCACCCTCGTCGCACCCTCACAGCCGCTTCCACCGCGCGACCGCCGCGTCGCTGATCAAGCACTTCCGGGACTGCATCAAGGGCGCGCCGCGCGAGCTGTACGCGAACGTGCTGCTCACGGCCGGGCCCGCGGACAAGGACTCGATCGTCGTCATCCAGATGTGCTACGTCGGCCCGCGGGAGAAGGGGATGGAGTACCTCCAGGCGATCTCGAGCTGGGACGGCGAGCGCTGTTTGCTGAACGAGGTCAACGAGAAGAGCTTTTTGAACCAGCAGGACAGCATCGCGCAGGTCTTGCGTGGGCGAGGTGCGTTGGTGTCGACTCGACTCTTAGCGTGATGAGTGCTGAGGTTTGTGTGTTGTGTTGATGATGGTGGATAGCGGGGCGCCAGTGGTTCCTCCGCTCGTCGCTCATCACGTCCCTCCCCGACGAGCTGATCACAAAGACGGTCATGGAGTTCGCAGACACCCCAATCGGATGCAGTACGTCCCGTCCCATCCCGCCTTCTGCACAGCACTGAATCACTGACGATGCGCGGGCGACAGCGTGGATATTCGAGCTCGCGGGTGGCGCGATCGGGGACTTCGAGGACAACTGTCTGCCCAAGGAGCAGCGCGAGGCGGCGTGGACCGTCGCCGCGCTCCACCAGTGGGACATCGGTATCGACGACCCGCGGTGCGTCAGCACGGCCGAAGACGTACGTCCCGTCCCTCCTCCGCGCCCTCTGTGCGCGCGCTGACCCTTGCCATGACCCAGTGGATGAAGGACACGATCAAGCCTCACTCGGTCGGCGGACCCTACCCCACCGTAAGCTTCCTTCCTTCCCTACGTGTCCCTCACTCGGATGCTCACTCCCCTCCCTCCCCTCTTTCTCTTTCCGTTCTCTGGCAATCGGCACTGGGCACTGGGCACCCCCAGTTCCTCGGCCGCCACGAGCCCCCGGCGCGCACAAAGGCGTGCTACGGCCAGAACTGGGCGCGGCTCGCGGCGCTCAAGCGCAGGTACGACCCGGACGGGTTCTTCAAGAACAACTTCTGGCCGCTCGACAGGGACGGGAACGACGTCGCCGAGCTCTACAACGAGCCGCCCTCTCCCGCCGAGGACGAGTCCGACTAGGCTGGCCTCGGTCTTCAGTCCTCGGTCCTCGGAGTCGGACGTTCGCGATCGCGATCGCGCGCTGGCCGTGGATCATGTCCACACTAGTCCGCGCGCGGGTTGGGGCCTGCACCAGTACCGACTATATGCTACACCCGTTAAGCAGGCTCCGTGTACCTGTTCATCGTGTCCGTCATGCTGTATGTAACTGTACATCTTCTCCTGTCCTGCACACACCGTCTTGCTTTCCCTGCATCCGTCAGCACGTACAAGCCCGCCGTCATCGCGATTCTCTTGATCTGCGACCAATCTGCGCTCAAGAGCATCCAGGATGTGCGATGTGCAGCGCGCATCGGATTAGCTGCTTCTACCTTCTACGCTACGCAGAAAGCCTACTACTACTACCTACACGACAGATTCAGAGTGCACAGAGCCGGAGAAACTAGATCGATGCCAGGTGAGAGATGGAGATGGAGCGAGAGAGAGGGGA